CCCCGCCGCTTGGGCGGGGGGATGATTCTGAAGCAAATTCCCCACGTCTCTCCAAAGGTCCCAGTGGGATGACCCCATTGCCCATGGCAGGCACCTGGCCATCAGTGCACCTTTCTTGACTTCCCTTCCCCTCCCGGTCCCCTCCCAGTGCTTCCTGGGATCACTTCCCAAATAAACTATTTGCACCCAATCCTCACTTCATGGTCTGAAAATTGAAAACAGATGTACATAAGGATCTTTTAAAGACACGGTGATTCCAGGACGCCAAACCCTAACATGGCTAAAAGACCCGAGCAGGAGTAGGGAGACATAACCCTCCAGGATGTGGCCGGGGACCTGCGGTGCACTTCAGGCAGGGTGAAGATCAAGGTGCCCCTGCAGCGTGGCACAGGACGGTCAGGGCGTGGTTCGCAGAGGGTGTGCCATGCTCAGTTTAGAGGTCTGCCCTTCCAAGTAATCTCAAGCATCTGCATAGAATAGATGCACGACTGTTCTGTCTAAAGTCAAAATATGTTCAGAAGTAGAAAGGACAAAAATAAAGAAGAAAAAGGGAAGGAAGGCAGAGCTGGAGGGGGCTTTTCAAAAGAGCTAAGAAAAGCCCATTGCTCTTCCTCATTTTTCAAGTATGTTGGAGCTGACCTGTGCCTTTAAAGAAGATGATGATTCAAGTGAATGTCACACATTTGGGTTCAGAAAAGCCTGCATGTTCTGTTATTGTTCACCTCTCAACGGAACGGTAAAAAGATGAGAGCCTCACGCACGGCACCAGCTGCTCCTATAAAGACCGACTGCACCTCGTTAAATGTTTGATTCCGTGCACTTGGACCTATGAGCTCTCTCAGAGTGTGGCATCTGTGTGTGGATACGTGCTCATGAGACAAGGCTGACCCAGGAGGTGAATTTATGGGATAGGAGTGCCTGGGATGAGGAGAAATAATGGCCATATCAGGAGAGAGAGGAAGAACTGGTGTAAACAGTTTATTATGCAATTTATAGACAGTGCTTTCTCACTAAACTTTTCTAATCATCAAAGAAAAGGAGAATGAGGTTAGGCAAAGATTTCATAAACAGAACACAAAAAGTACTACCAATAGAGGAAAAAATGAATGAGTTATACTATATTAAAATTAAGAACTTCTGTTTATCAAAGACAACTGTAAGAATATGAGAGAAGGTATTTGCGATACACGGGAGAGATTCGTAATGTATAACCAACCAAGTGTTTGTATCCAGAATATATTTTTTAAAAAACAAAAAACTCCTACAGCTCAATTAAGAAAAAGACTCAGTAGAAATAGGCAAAATACTCGGACACTTCATAAAAGAGGATATTTAAATGGCCAGTAAAAACATCAAAAGATACTCAGTTTTTTCAGTCATCAGGGAAAGGCAAACTAAAACCACCATTAGATACCTCTGCAAAACTACCAGAATGGATAGAATAAAACAGGTGGGGAGTATCAAGTGTCAGCAAGGAGGTGGTGCAACGGGAACTCTTGTGTACTGATCGTAAGATTCTAAGTTGGTTCAACAATGTTGGAAAACTTTGGTAGTATTTACTAAAGCCAAAGACATGCACATTCTAATACCCAGCAATTCCACTCCTAACTATGTACCAAAAATCAGTGTGTGTATAGGTTCAAAGACATTGTCAAAAATGTTCATTGCAACACTATTTGTATTAGTTCCAAGCTGGAAACAACCCAAATGCCCATTGGCAGTAGAACAGATGAACTATGGTATATTAGAATGCTGGATACTATATAAAAGTTCAAAAACAAGAAAGATAAAACTATAGTGTTAGGAGTCAGGACGGTGGTGTTCAGTTTAAAAATAAAGAAAAGGAGAATGAGCAGAGGAACTGCAGTCACTGGCCCAAGCTCAGACACTAGTACAGCTCGGTGTGCCCAAGCCAAACAGTCACCCTGTTTGTGATCCAGTTTCACTAATGGACCAATGGGGTGAACGACACGAAGGCTCATCACCGTGACGCCTTCTAGATCAATAGCTGGCATTATCCTGCTTTACGAATGACAACCTGCTCTGACGCCTGTCATCCTGAGCCTCACGACAGCCCTGGGAGGCAGTTAGGACGGGGCTTTCTCCACTTTTCCAATGAGAAGGCAAACACTTACAGAGGTCAAGGGACCCCAGCTGGGTCAGAAGCACAAAACTTTTAAAGGAAAGAACTAAAATAATAGAACAGAAAAGGTATTTGAATATAAATTCAAGACCTAAACTTGAAATAAAAGAAGATCTATCTCAGATTCAAAAGCAAAACCCCGTTCCAGGAAAAATGGTAAAAAATAATGAACCCAGAGGCATGTCCTGATGAGGTTACTGGAGTTCAAAGATAAAGCAAAAAATCCTTTGGGTATCCAGGCAAAGGGATCAAGTCACTGGCAATGGGAAAAGAGATCAGGCTGTGTGCAAATGTCTCCGCAGGGCTGCACTCCAGGGGCGGTGGGCAATGCTGATAAAGACCCAGGAGAGACAGAAAACATGAGTCGGGAAGTTTATGTAAACTAACCTGTTGCTCAGGTATTTAGGCAACAGAAAAACATTTCTGGACATACAAATACTGGAATCCTTTTCTGGAGAAAATGCTGGAAGAGGAACTTCAGCCGACTAAGAAATGACTGGAGAACCCACGACAAAACAACTAGTGGTGTGCATTGACCAAAGTATTGATTGAAAACAACGTGGGGATTGACGTTAGAGAGGAGAGAGAACGCATGTGATGGATTCCAGACAAAGCAGAGGTGGGATAGAGAACAGGCTGTGAAAGGAGGAAGGGTGGCGAACAGCAGTAGGAAGCTGTCGACATATACACCAATTCTTTATCTTTTCTAGCTGGAGGAAGACCAAAAATGTAATGAAGGAATTAAAAAACTGAGATATAAGAGCTTTTAAAGGTAAACTGTTAACCACGAAGAAAAATGATAAAATTGGGTGGTGGAAGGAACGGGCTTGGAGGTGGAGATGTATTTATTTCACTGTACCCATGGAATCAGGGCACAGTAGGTACCCTAAAGAGAAGGGTGACTGATTGACGCTCCTTCTGCTTCCAGCCAATGGCAGACCAGAGACTAGAGACTATGTGGGAGGCAGGGCTGCTCTTCCACTGCAAAAGAGCCAGGTATTGTAATAAAACATAATTCTTAATGCAGAGCTCACCAGAGTAAAGGAGATATCTAGGGAAGCAAACACAAAATGCACACACAGCTACATGTCTATATACATACAAACATACCAAACAAGTGAAGCCACTGGTCTTGGCACTGCAGCTGGAAGAGTAAGTCTGGAGCTGGCAGCAAGGTCAGGCGATCTCCCTGAGACCCCCAGGTTAAACCAGGGAATCTGGAAGGATGTTTACCAGCTCTGGAAAGGTTAGTGGCAGCTTCTGGCTTTGGTTGAACAAATATAGGGAGAGCCACTCAAACAAAATCAGGTCTGGGGGAGCCCAGACTCCCCCAACTCCTGCCCCCAGCGGTACTGCTTAAACTGCAGTGGAAAGTTACTGGTCCCTGCAAACAGCCAGGAAAAGGAAACAGCTCTGGTTCTAGCGTTTCGACACCTCACTGACTACAACTACGAGCAAGGCCTGGCAAAAGTCCTTCCTGGTACGTTTTGCCTCACAGTTCCTCAAGGTGCTGTGTGACAAAGAAACCAATGCCAAGCTTCCTTCCCTGGAGTGCTGTGAGCATCCGGGGAAGCTGGGGTGCCTCAGGAGGAAGACACGCCTGTCCACGCATGCCAGCCTTCACCTCTGCTCTTCAGCAGGTGGGGCCTGTCCAGGACTGTGAAGGTTATTCTGACATCCTTTTGCCTCTTCCTCACTGGGCATCCACGGAGCATTTGGAGAGCAGCTCTAACTCAAATCAACATGGAAGGGAACGCTTATGTAAAATCTCTCAAAAATGTGTTGCTGATAACATAAGCCAAAAGGGAGATAAAATAAAACACAAAGAATTGGATGAAA